GTCCAAATGGCCCTGTTTCCTGCCTCTCTCTGTTCAACAAACCCCAGTGCCCTTCTACCCCCTGGACAGCACCGTGGACCCCTCTTGTGCAGCTGGGGAACCTGAGGCACGGTGCAGGGAAGCGACTGCCTTCAGGGAGCTGGCAGTTGAGTACCTGCAGCTGCCCTGAGGCAGAGACCCCAAGGGTCCTGCAGCTGGGCTTGTCCCTGGAGAAAGTGTATGCAGGAGTGCGTGTGCACATGCATGGCCAGGGGCTGCCCTGTCCCTCCCAGGCACCGCAGTGGCAGTGGGGCCTCTGCTCCAAGCAGGGCATGGGGCAGAGGCCGGGGGCTGGTTTGGGGGCACCAGGTTGATGGAGCTCAGGGAGGGGGTGGTTCTTCTAGGGGGCAGGGCAGGGCATTGTCCGGCCACCCACTCTGGATCCGCTGGAGGATGTGCACCCAGCCCCCATAAGGGAGTGGGGGGAGAGCAGGGGGCTGCCCACTGGCATGGAGGGGTTGAGGGGTGGTCGAGGGGCATCAACAGAGCTGGGCTGGCAGCAGGCTGCAAACTGGGGCACAGCACTGGTGCATGCTTGAGTGCGTGTGTGTACGTGAGGATATGCATGTGAAGGCATGTGCATGTGTATAAATTTCATAGACATTAGGGCTGGAAGGGACCTTGGAGGATCATCGGGTCCAGCCCCCCACCCCAGGGGCAGGAAGTCAGCTGGGGTCAAAGGATCCCAGCATCACAAAGCATCCAGACGTTTCTTAAGAGTCCAGAGTAGATGCTTGCACCACCTCTGGAGGGAGTCTATTCCAGGACACGTGCAAATGCACACATGCATATGTGTGCATGTGAGGACGTATGTGGATGCACGTGCATGTGTACAAATATGTGTGCATGCGTGTGAAGGCATGTGCACGTGTATGAATGCACATGTGCATGCATGTGCATGCGAGAACGTGCATGGGAATGCACATGCATGTGTATGAATGTGTGCATACATACACATGTGTGTGAATGCATGTGCATGTGTATAAATGCATGTGAGCATGCATGTTCCTGTGAGGACATGCATGTGAATGGGTGTGCATGCGAGGACATGTGCGTAAATGCATGTGTATGTGTGTGAATGCATGCGCATGCCCCAAGAGATGGCCCTTCTCCTTCCCTGGCACGGCTCCCATGTCCACAGCTCCATCCTTCCGGTGTGTGAAGCATGGCAGCCCCTCTGGCCTCCCTCCCTCCCCCACAGGGCAGGGGGAGGGGAGAGGAAGTGCTGGCAGGTGCCAGGGTGCAGCCGGTGACTCACCCGCGGCTTCTCTCCGGTTCTGCCAGTAAACAGCAACAGGCGCCCATGTAAACAGGAGCTCCCTGTAGATCCCAGCTGGGGGGGAGCAGGGGGGTGAGCAGGACTGACCCCAGGGCTGCGCAGCGGGGGCAGTAGTGAGGCACCGAGCCCTAGCGGGGCAATGGACCCCCAAGAATAACTGTGCATTGGGCACCGCCTGATTCCCCCCGTGTGCTCCCCTGGCAGCAGCTGGATGATCCGTTTCCACCCTGTGCCCATTGGCGAGCAAAGGGTGCGGGCGAGGCTCTTCTGCTCCTGTCGCACCTGTGCGAGCGAGGGCAAGACCCCAGGGCCTGGTGTGCACGGAGCTGGCAGCTGCCCGGGGAACTGCAGGGACCCCGAGGACCGTGCCAAGGGTTCGGCCGCTCCATCGGCATCGTTGTCCGTCCCACATAGCTCATGGCAATGCTGCTGCTCTGGGGGACCCTGCCGTGCCCCCCCAGCTCTGGGGCTCAGCTCTGTCCCAGCCTGCCTGCATGGGCCCCTACCCCTTGCCTGTCCCGCTGCAGCCTGTCCCAGGGAGCTGCCGCCACAAAGGGCAGGGGAAGTGCCAGACACTGGGCCCTTTGTTTGCCTGGTGGCCTGGAGCATGTGGCCAACGCCTGGCTGGACCTCAGCCCCAGCGCAGCCATGGGGTGTCCAGCCCAGACCCATCAGTAGGTTCGTGGGGCAGTGCGGAGGCTGGCGCCTGTCTGTGCACAGCCAGCTCTTTTGTTCCCGCGGCCCTTGGCTTAGCCCCGGGACCCGCTGGGATGCTCAGCCCGTCTTGGCTGCTGGGCAGTTTCCACTGGGGAGGGAGCTGCAGTGACTCACAGTGCTGCGGTTACAGAGCCCCACAGCCTGGTGCCGGAAAGAACAGCCCCAGGACTGGGCGGGTGGGGGGTTCCTTGGCTCCTGGGTTGTGCGTATGGGGCTGGTGTGAACCGAGTTTGCAAAGCCTCAGCCCTTTTCCCTGTATAGGGAGTGGATGTGGCTGGATGAGGGGTTCTCTTGGGCTCTTTGGGGTGCCAGGGCAGCCTGTACGGGGCTTGGTCCTTGCAAACTCCCTGTGGGACCCAGGTGTCCAGGTGCGGCCTGGGAGCAGGGCATGGCTGGCAGGTTCCAGCCTTGGGCAGGGCACATCTGGAGGGAGGGAGACCCTGCCCCAGCCCGGCCACTCCCTGCTTGTCGGTGGACCTCCCTCTGCAGCCCAGAGCTAAGGGATGAGTCAGGCTCTCGTGCCCCGCTCTGCTCTGGGCACCGTGCCATGGGCTGATGCCAGAGAAGCTGGGAAGCAGGAAGTGGCTTTGGGCCGGGTGCTGGATGGTGGGGAGGGGTGTGTGTACACAGCCGGCGAGCATGCAAGCCCCTTGCATGTCCCCGGTGAGCGTGCGAGTGCCTTGTCTGTACATGGTGAGTGTGCCAGCGTGCTACCTGTGCATGGTGAGCCTGTGAGCGCGCTTGACGTGCCCAGGGGGTGTGCAAGGGCACTGCTTATGAACAAATGTGTGAGTGCATTGCTTACCGTGTGGTCTGGGCCCCCGCTCTTGCCTGCCCATATGGGGCTGGGGGCTCTGGGCTCACAGGGGCCTCGATTTTCAAGGCCGAGCATCCTCCCCTTTCATGTCCCCGAGACCCTGGGGCTTCTCCGGCTGCTCCTGATGCAGGACCACTGACCCCTGCCCCTCTGCTACTTTCCAGGATGCCCCAGCACCCCTCTCCTCCCCCTGCTTGCATTGCTCCAGCCCTTCTCAGCCCCCCTTCTTGCCCAGCTGGGGCTGCCTCTGCAGGGTCTGGGTCCGATTGCCTGTGCTCTGATTGCCTGTGGTCCAGGCCTGATGCTCGCAGCACCTGCCACAGCATCAAGCTGGATGGATAAATCTGCCCTGCAGACATGTCCCTGTGGCATCCCACGCCCAGGCGCACCTGCCTGCTGCTGTGGGAACGGTTTCACCTGGGACGGGGTGGGGATAGGGATAGGACAGCTCTGGATGGGGCTGTGGTGGGAGAACCCCTGAGACCTGCCCCTGGCTGCTCGCTGCACGCGCTGATGGTGCTGCCATTTGTGCACTGACCCTGGTGGTTGGAAGCCCCTGGGGATGGGGAACTGCCCCCAGCCCCACAACAACATTGCACTGCTGCCCTCAGCTCCCTCCTGGCTTGCAAAGGGCTGCAGGGGGGTGGAAAGGTGTCCTGCCTCTCCTGCAGCCCGGTCCTTGGCATTTGCAGCTGGGCATCCTCCATCCATTGCCCCCATCCCAGAAGGGCTCAGGGCTAGGGGTGAACCTCAGGGTCCAGGCCTGGATCTCATTGCAAACTGCTGGATTCCCCTGGTGCAGGGGGACTTGGTCAGGGCAGGGGGTCCCTTGGGCCTGGGGGTGGGGGGGCACTGGCAACTTAAGCCTGCTTGTGGCAGAGCAGTGGGCAAATCCCACGGCTTCCCTGGGAAATGGAGATGCAAACCTGCTCCCATCCCATCTCTGGGGTTGCTGCAGGGCAGGAGCGATCCCCCCAGCCCACTTGGGGCCTGGGGCACCCTTGCACCAGCTCTGATCATTCTCCTGACCCAGCAACCTGGGTTCATCCCTCAGCCCTGGGAGCCATCTGGGCTCTGCCCCCTGATCAAACAGCCGATCCGGTCCCTGCCAGTGCAAACAGGACAGGAGCAAACAATTGCGCCTCCCCCCAGCTTCAGAGCTGCGTGGCCCTGCCTGCCAAACTGGTCCTGGGTGCTCAGATCCTGGGAAAGGGTGGGTAGGGCCTGCAGTGCGGATGGAGAGCTGCCCATGTGGACTCGGGTTCAGGAGCGGGTGAATGTGGTGCATATTGCTACCGGGTGCCCTGGTCCCCAGGCCTAGCCGAGAGCTGTCCATGCTGTCCTGCCATGACCGCAGTGGCTCTGAGCCCCTGGTGCTGGGCTCATGGGCTGTTCTCCCACCCCATGCTCTGCACCAGTACCCCCCGCCTCCATGCCCCCAGGTACCCTGACACGGGCAGGTGGTCATGGCCCAGCTCTGGGCAGTTCGAGAAGGGGCCGGCAATGAGGACCCCTGGAGCTACTAGGGGCTTGGAGAGACTCCCTTTGGGCAGCCCCAGGGGCTCTGACCCCTGCCCCATTGTGCTGCGACCTGCCACTGCTGCCCCCCCACTCTGGCAGGATGTGGGAAGGCGCATCCTCGGCGCTGTCAGCTGGATGAGACCAGGCTTGTTCCTGGGGCCTTGTGAGCTGGGGCGCAGGGTGGGCTGAGCCATGGTCCCCCGGCAGAATGGGGCTGCACTTGCACTGACACTCAGGTCTCCACAGGCCTGGCTGTGCAGTGAGAAGCAGCTGCTTGCTCCCCCTCCGCCCTGCCACTCGCTTCCCTTCTGCATGGTGGCATCCTCCTCACTCAGCTTTTATTTAATTGCATGTCAGGGTTTGCAGCTGGCTGGGGGGTGTTGGGACCTGCCAGGCTGGAGCCAGCTGTGCAGAGCCCCCTCCAGCTGTGCAGGGTGTGAGCTGGGAGGACCCCTGCATGGGTGAGCTGGTGGATGGGGACCCTTGAGCTGGCATGCAGCGGGATCCCCACTGCCCACCGGCACTGCTGCCAGGACCTGGGGTCCCCAGCTGGGAGGTGGTGACACTGACCCCAGCCCCACGGCACGGTGCTGGGCACTGCCTTTGCAGCCGTGTGCTCCCAGAACCCTCCCAGGGAGTCGGGGGTCTAGTCCCTTTTGCTTCTGAGCAACCCAGCCCTTGCAGCTCAGTTCCCTGTACCCACAAGGCCTTGGCCCAGCTCCGCGCCCTCTTCCCACTCTCCTCTAGCCAGGAGCAGCAGGACTTTCCCCCACCCCGAAACCTCCCTCCTCAGCTC